CGGTAGAATGCTGGGATCGAAATCCGAATTGATGAGTAGGATTTTTCGGATTCTATTATGGGTAGGATTCTTTTCAGTAGGATCTTTTCAAAAATTTTTGAAAGAATTGGGAGTAGGCTAATTGGTCTATAGGATGATGTATTATTGGGAGGCTTGCCTGGTTTCAGAAAAGGATGATGGTGGAATGTTTCCATAAGAGAGGGATGTGGGTAGTTCGCAGGATACAATCGTATATATAGGTTAGAAATATGATGGCTTTGGTTGGTAGTTGTCGAAGGGTTTAGAAGGTCGTATCCAGGAGATTTACTAGGAGTGATTTTGCGTAATAGGTATTTGACCTCAAAGGGATTAACTGCTTTAGGTGGTAAGGAGAGTGGTGTAGGTGAAGAAAGGAATTCTTCTACTTTTACTGTGTGGGTGGGATGAGATTCTGGATGGGAAGTGAAGGTATAGGAAAGGTGCTTGGCAAATTCCTCGGCTTTGTCTACATCAGACGCTGCCCAGGTACCATCACCTCGATGAAGGGGATGAGAAATATGATGGGATTTTAGGATTTTTTTTATGGTATTCCAGAGGGAATTATCATGACCAGAGAGGGTGGTGATGTAGGAGTTGAATGATCGGGATCTGAAGGTGGCTAATTCTTGTTTTAATTTTTTACAGTAATAATTGTCGGAGTAGCGGTCGGCGGGATGTCTGTACGTTGCCATAATCATCTGGCACAGCGTTTTATACGGATTAGGTCAAGGAGGTGTTGAGGTAAATTGGGTTTCTTGAGGATTTTTGAGGAATGATCAGGAGAGGAAGCCGTCCAGGCTGCTTGATGGATTTTAGTGGTAAACGAATGAACGGCATTGTTCAGGTCTTCGGTTTTTTTCAGAGTTGCTCTGAGGTCAATTTTATCGGAGAGGATTTGATGAAAGAGTTTCCAGTTAACTCGGCCTCTGATGAAGGACGGTGGAGAGGGTTTAGGAATAGGACCTAATCATACTTAGAATATTAATGGGCTGTGGTCTGAGGAAAGCTAATTATTGCTTATTTGAATTAGATAATAATGACAGAAAAATTGCAAAATAATTACAGAACTGAAAAATATTTTTACAACTTAAACTACAACCGAAAACCAAATAAAAAACGAGTATTAGAAGGAGAAGAGAGTATTGGATTCAACTATGTAATTTTCTTGTGGACAGTGCTACGATAAATTGCAGGATAACAAAGAGATTTGAAAAACATTGCAATCAGAATCATTTTGAACATCAAATCTTTGTTTGAACTCTCCTTAGTGTGATACATCGCCCCCACATTTAAAAATAATTTTAATTGTTTTAAATCCAGATAGAAAAATGATGAGCAACAAAATCTTGGGTAAATGGTAAATATACACTGAAAGCGCAAAAATAAGCAAGTTATTGTTAGGTTCTAGTTGCGGCTAACATGAAATATTTTTTTATTTTGTTTTTAATTTTTGTGACTATTTCATAATATGGGGGCTCAATTTTATTTTGTTTATATAACATCGATTATTTATTTTATTTAGGTTTTTATTTCCATAAACTTATATGGTAAACCTGTTTATTTAAATGTTTTGTTCATTCCGATACGTCCCAGTGATGATGTTTTCGGCCACTTCCGGAGACTCTCCACCTCTCGTCGTGTCACATGATACTAGAGGCAAAAAGAAACCATTAGAAACCCAGTATGGCTGCTGGTTGCGCTGCGTATAGAACTGACTCTATGAGTTATTCTCCGTCCCCTCACAATTCCTCCTTGCAAACCCATGGATTCATCTCTCCACGATGGTGGCTTGCCACACCTGGGGCATAGTTATCCTCCACGAGGACTCCTGTCAGTTACACCACATTGACTTTAAAACAAATAATATGACCGGCCGGCTGGAGGTTATTTTGTTTATTTCCATTAAGAACATTTAAAGGTGAGTGGCGCCCCTTTAAAAGGCATTATAGGCGTTATTAAACTGAACCCCTGAGTGTTCAGTTTAATAGGTGAAAGACAAAACATTGTTTTTCGTAATTAAGACACCTAACATTGAGGCTAGACTTTAACTTCAATACTAGTTCTTGTCAATTATTGAAAATGCACTCATAGTGTAGTGGCTAGCACCCCATACCAAAATTGTGAAAATTCCCGGTTCAAGACTGGTAACACTATATCTCTTTTTTCCGTATATTAAATAATATAATTTTAAATTTATTTAAACATAAATGATGGCCTTCAGTAATGTTATTTTGATTGTAATTAATTTAACATTTAAACTAATTCCATTTGTATTATATTATAATAATTAAAACTCATCCATATAATTCACACATTTTAAATCTAATTCTAAGGTTTTTTTTTTGTTTATGTTAATGCTTTAAAACAATTTTATTTCTTTCACTATTTTATTAATTTAATTTTATGATTAGGAGAAATATTTTTAATTAATTTATTTATTTTGTATCACATATTATTTCTCTCAATATATAGAACTGCTATTCGGCATATTGCTATTCGGCATTTCATTTATATACATATTTATCCTCAAGGATTCATCATTTTAATATTTGTTTTTAATTAATTAATTAATATGGCTCCAGTGCCATTTGGCACGGATAAGGTTATGCAGAATTGGCAATTTAAATTTTGAACGCCTGCTGCCACCATAGTTCTATAAAACTCTATTCTTCAAGATAATAACGTAAAAAATGTAGCTTGGAAATTATCTAAGTATAACTCAATCTTTTTATAATTTCAAACATTTCGCAAAAAGTATTACATATTTTCAAGGACTAATAAATATTAATATATCAGTCTTATTAATACAAGAAATGCATACAAATAAAGAACATAGCTTCTTAAAAAGATTCCAAAATTGAACAATTCAGGAAAAACATTCTACGACTGCACACAGCCCTAAGGTTCTACACTAATAAATATTTGGTACTAAAAAAAAAAATAGATATGCGACGATCATCAATTTTCGAATGATATTTTCAACCAGTTGAATTAAAAAATATATATAGCTATTTATCGTTTCAGTCTAATAATTGAAATATTTTCAGTGTTTTTTTTTTTTTTTTTTTTTTGCGTCTCTTTTTAAGCTCAAATTTACGGTTGTGGGATGTTAGGAAACTAATTTTTCAGCGTAGTACCTTATGGAATGTTCAACCACTGCCTGTGTCTTTCTTCTGCATTATCCTCCCAGTGGATAATCATCCATTATCATATTTTCCCCCTCCCCAAAGGTTCTCCTGTGGATTCGCCAGGAGTTCATTCTTAACCATGTGCCAGAAGTAATCTTCTCGCAACAGAAACTCGAGACGTATACCTAATAAGACCTGCATCTGGCATTTAAATTTGAATTAAAGCATTGGATTATTTTCTCAAACAATGAATATAAGTAAATTTAATAAAAAATATCCGTTATTGATATAGAATCGAAATATTTAAGATTTTTTGACCATAATTATCATTCAGTTTCACTTTCTCTGTTTGCATTTGAAGTATTAAAAGTCCTAAAGTCTCTTATTAAGAATATCGACTTTATAGAAGTTAGATGTACCCAGGATGGTCTTCCGAACACATCGAATCATCCACAGCTTATCTAAATAATTATCTGTCACAGCCGTTCTTGAAGCCTGGACCTGAAGGATACTAGCACTGTACCTTGTCACTGAACTACTCCGTTACCTTACCTCAGCAACATATTTTTCACATATTAAAGTTTTCGATTTATAGTAAGGCCTTGTTGTTGCATCATACCAGTTGTCTTTGAATGATTACTTTGACTTCAGACGACATTAGTCAATTAAAAGTTAAAATAATTTTTAAAAACATTTAATTTTTAATTGTATTAAAAAATAATACCAAATAGAAAAAAGAATATAGCAAAAAAAAAAAAAAACTTTAAACGGTTCTGAAAAAAACGTAAAACATTGAAGACGTAAAAATTCGCAAATGATTCATTCTTTGCTATCAAATAGAAATGATATGCAGCAATCATTTACTTTCGGTTGTTGATATCGTCATTCAGCTGCGATTTAAAAAAAATAAAGCTGTTTTTGGTTTTAGATAAATGATTCAACTATTCTTAGAGACAATTTTTTTTCGAGTAATTTCGTTTTTGAAAAATATATTTTCGGTTAGCTTTTTAACTCAAATTTACCACTTTGTTGCGTTTGATAACATAGTGACATACTTCTCACTTGGGGCGATAGTTAGAAATTAGATAGTTGGATCGATAATTGAATATACCAATTGTTTTTCTGTTTCTTAAAGCAACTTTTTATTCCATTCCAAGTGAGATGTGAATATCCCTCAACGTGGTGATTGCAACCATTCTCAGTTCAGAAAAAAAATGAAATATAGTGACAGACTGAACACAGTTTTTACATAGTATTCATAAATAAAATCGTCAATCTCTGTAAAAAGAAAAAATATACTTAACTAGCCTTCAGTGCCTTTATTCTCTTCTATGTTGTGTACAATAAATTGAATCTAGGTTGTATGCAAGAGGAGCACAGACTTGGTAAAAAGCAATGTTGTATCATTAATTGTAGCCATAAATATTTATGCAGCCTCTTTGTGTTTTAGAAGGTAGGTAAGATCGCTGGTTAATGGTTGCATACAAATTAAATTTTGATTTCTAGGACTTTCCTAAAGTGATCGAAATCTGTAAAGGTTCATCCCTTCCTTGCCAAATTACAAGAAATGCTTATATATTTAAATAAAAAAGTGGCGAGCTTCTCATTTTAGTTATTAAATAAGAATTTATAACCAAAATGAATTATTATAAATGACATTTTGATTAAGAAAAAGATCTTCGAACCGTATGACGCCTAGCAGAAACCAATTTAACAAGCCTTTCCAGAACAGATATTAGGGCAACTGTTCTAGTTTTCAGTATGTAATTAGATCAGTAATGTGTATACATTTCAATACTAAGTCCATAGTGTGGATCAAATTCTTCATTACTTCTATATAAATGATGTATTTAGTGGTTGCTGTTCTGGCATTGGCTAGCTTCTACACTCAAGAGCTGAGCGTCTACGACTAAGCGCTGTCACTCAGCTACCACTGGCCACTGGCTCAATACCTATGACCTGGTTGAGAGAGAAGCGCTGGGATCTCTTGGAGTCCTGCTTTGCACTCCATACTCGGGGTGGAGGAGCTTGGAACGGGGATCCCCAGGCTGAGTATAAATATTATACATACATATGGTTGTTTAATATATTTTTATTATATTTTGTTTGCTTTGTCTATATTTAGTATGAATGTGAACTTTTTGTACCTATTATTAATTGTTCTTAAATGTGCCAGAAAGATGGTTAGATAATAAAAATAGTTAAAAGATAATGAAAAATACCTTTACATTGCTTTAAGTCTTTTAGCTCCTCTAAATATGAAGTTTTTAAATGTTTAATTCAATAGTGGGACTACCTCAAACGTCTATTAGTGATTCTTCGAAAAGCTCAATATAATTTTACTTTATTTACCAGATTGCTAGATCTCTCGACGTTTCTTTGCCAGTTTCGAAGCGATATTCTAAAAACGATCGCACCATTAAACGGTCAAATAGGAACTGGCAGGAGAATAAAACAAAAGAAAAATTTGACAGCTTTTAGAATATTGCTTCAAAACTGGTAAAGAAATATCCAGAGATCTTGCAGATCTAGTAATCAGGTAAATAAAATAAAATTCATTACAATACAGAAGTGTGGTGTGGTGGGTAGCCCTAAATAAGGCCTCTCATATGCGAATGTTATGTTGCATACAAAGAATGGCCTGCATTAGCATTATAGGGGCATTTCGCACAACACCTACAAATCCCTAGAAGAATTGTCCTTGACCCCGCTACATTTATGAATAATAGGTGACGCGTTCATAGCATTATAAAAGACAGTGGCAAGTAACAGACACACACACTAGCCACTTAGAAATAGCCAGGATGGTAGAAAAAGAGTTACCTATATTACGGTACCTTTATCCGGTGCATGAGAAAAACCTTATTCTAGACACTAAGGTTAGCTACCTTTATTATATAACAGATTGGGCACATGTATCAATAGAAGCTCAGAAAGTTTACCTGCCCTGTTTCACTGATGGGTCGAGGAAAGACTCAACCGGCTTAACAGGTGCAGGTGGTGTATATAGAATATAGAATAAAACACAAAATTAGGTAATCATGCTACAGTATTTCAAGCGGAGGTATTTGCTATACTTTCTGCAGCCACATGTTTAGAAGTTATTAATTGTAAGAGTGCTGGCATTACTATATATTCGGACAGTCAGTCGGCACTTCAAGCATTAGAATCTCCCAAAGTGCCCTCCACATTGGTACGGGAGTGTAAATAGGCTTTGGAGACACTAGCCTGCTCTAAGAAATTGAAACTAGTGTGAGTTCCTGGTCACAAGGGAAGTAAAGGCGATCATAAAGCCGATGACCTCTCAAGGAAATGATAGGTGTAGGTGTTCTGTATGCAAAGTTTCGGCCTGGAAGCTTTGAGAGCTTCTTGTATCTTGGCCGGCTGAAAACTCATTTTTTATATCTTTATCATATCTGTTTTCACGACTTAACACGGTTTCAGATCTGGTTTCACGACGGCAACGCGGCGCTCGGGTATAAAGCATTTACACAAAACATATCCCCCGCCGTGAAATATCTTATTTCACAAAAAAAAAAAATATAATCAAACTCATAGATTGGTAATTACTAGGCAATGCACAAACGAGAGGAAATTGCTTGGTTTACAATAAACAAAGAGAGAAATTATTCGAAATAATATTTTGAAAATTAGAAATAAAAGTGAGCTAGATCAAAGATAAATATAAAGATAAGGCTAATAAATTCCAATTCATTTAAAACGAAAATGGCTTCTCATTAAATATAAGAAAGGAAAAAATATATACATATCAACAAAAAGTTTCTCCAGAAGGAACTAACTTATGCCCAGGACACCAAAGTGGCTGTAGCAGTCCTCCATTTTATCATTTTAACTACACCGTCAGGCCCTGGTAGTGTCTCAAGGGTTATATAACAAGGGTTCCCACTTTTAAATTTTCCCTGTCAGTCTGTTGCGGGACACCAGATTGTGGAGGTACTCATTATACCATCTCATCCAAAAATTACGAAGAATCTCGTAAATCATCTCCCAACCGCTTGTCAAAGGAAACACAGGCGCGTCTTCTTGTTCTGGTCAGGCTAGGAGGAGTGCTCTGGGGTCAAGTAATCAATGTTATCCGATTGTTGACAGCTAATATTACAGATAGGACAGGAATTAAGGAACGGCTTCAACTCGTACCAGTATAGTATAGAATTCCTCATATGTTAACGCATGATCCTGGAGAACGGCAAGAAGGTGTTTCTTAGCGGATTTCATAGCTACCTCCCAAATACCACCGAAATGGTGGAGGCGTAAAGGTCCACTTTATACCAGTCCGACTTGTATAAATGGTTAGAAATGGTTTCGCTCTGGCCCTTAAAAAATTGATAAAGCTCCTTTCAACATCTTGAACACTCCAACGAAATTTGTTCCTCAGTCACTATGAACATGCGAAAGCAAACCACGTCTGTCAATAAATCTGTCTAAAGTGGCAATAAATGAAGGAGAAGATAGGCCCGTCACAAGTTCTAGATGGATGTCCGTGGTAGACATGCATACAAAGAGAGCTAACTAAAATTTCGACTTAGGAGCATTACTGGAAATCTTCATAACGAAGGGGCCGCCATAGTCTATTCCAACTCGCTGAAAGGATCGACCCTCGGACAACCTGAAGGACGGTAAGTCAGTCATTTTCGAAGTCTGTGGCTTCGCATTATTTTTGTGGCATGTAACATATTTATAAATCCACCTTCTAATGAGTCTTCTCAGAGAAAGAATCCAAAATTGGCGATGAATGAGCGACTGGACCAACAGGGGCCCACCATACGAGGGATACCAGTGCTAATGGTCACAACAGGACTGCTAAATGTGAATCTTTAGGTATCGACAGCTGGTGCTTACATTTCTAATCAATTGTTGAATCTTCATAAAAACTTTAAATTCAATTTTAATTGCTCAAGGCAATAGCAACTTTCTTCAAAATAAATGAAAAGTTTAGCAAAGCAGGCCAAAACAAGCAAGGATTAAAAAAAAGGATTAACGGAGTCACTTAATTCCAGCCAGTCACCATGCATTCTTTCCTGAAAATTCCTGGAATCTTAACTATGATTTTTCAACATATACACGGCTTGACTTCCTCAAATACGTAACGAAAGCATAAGAAACAATATAAGATATATTTAAAAAACCAATCAATAGACGAAATACCAATATTAGCCCACATATATGATTTTGGCAAAGGAAAAATTCAATTTTTAATACTCTGGCACCCCCAAATATATTTAAAAAAACAAAGAATCGATAGGGGAAATACGAATATTAGCCAAGAAATAGACAATTTTTACAAAACTCTCATAACCTACCAGGAAATTTTCCTCCTTTACGTACGGCAAAACATCGCTAATATGACAAAAAAGCTACATAATACATAACTTTCCAATTTGAGTTTAATAAAAGCAACTAACTCTGATGAGTTCAAAATAGGTAACATTTGACATTATTTTGGCAGTGGATCGTATTTTGGTTGAAAGTGGTAGGTTATATGAATTATGAAAATAAAACTCACCCTTTTATGCTGGCATAGATCTCTTGCCTAGCTGAGAGGACGGCCTCCAATCTGGTCTTCTGTAGGTGTTCTCTATGTAAAGGTTCAGCCTGGAATTGTTTGAGAGCGTCTCGTATCTTGACCGGCTGAAATCTTATCTTTAAGATCTTTATCAGATTTGTTTTCACGGTTTACCGCAACGTGGCGCTCAGGTACAATAGCATTTATACAATACAAAGGAAAAGAGCTCTCCACGAAAATTCGTGAGTTTTATGCCATGGAAAATACCCTCTATTTAATCAATCAATGTTGATGGGTTTTTGATCTGGCTGCAGCCATTCAATTGCTTATTTAATAGTCTATAGGCAGTCGTTTTAGTCGTTCAAAGACAGAGATGAACAAATGCTACTTTGAGTACTGAGTACCAAGTATTTTACCCAAATACTTAACTTTTCTGAGTACCAAAGAATTTAATTACTACTTCAGTTGATATCAAACGATTAGTTGATGTAATGTTCCAATTCCCAAAAATGATTCAATTTGAGTAAAATACTTGGTTCTCGGTACTCAAAGTAGCATTTGCCCATCTCTGTTCAAAGAGGTACAGTGCATTCCCTTCGAAAGCCCAACGGCTCCTTGCCAGTCTGAATTTTCAAGGGCTGCATTAAGACTAGATCCTGGTACTCCAGTTATAACTCAAAGAGCTGCATTTTGAACTTTTTCCGATTCTTTCTGTATTATTTTTTCAGTTATTCTTTCCACATTAATCGGTAATCTAATTTTGCACCCAGGTAGGTAGTAGAACCAGAACGAGTTAATGCCTTACAAAAGAGTGATTGAGGTGTTGGATTTTTTTTTTTGTTTACTGAGAATTGATACTCGGTTTTGTAGAGTTTTTTTTTTTTATAAATTTAATTTTCGAATGACTATATCCTGAGATTCGCTTAGACTTTATTAACAAATTTCTCTAGGGCTAAGGTATTACAACTATATGTCCATATAGCAAAGTCATTGGTAATAAAATCAAACTTTCATTCCTGAGCTTGATATTTCCAGTTATTAAATGAGGTTGTTTAACATTAGGGAGAAGAGGAGGAGGACTTAGTAGAAGTAGACTTCTAGTTTTTGTATGAGAATGTGCTACTCTCGCGCCTTACCCTATGAAAGAATCTAGGTATTTGTGCAAATATTCGTGAAGCCCATACCTAACCAGCTTGGAAAGAAGCTTTTATCTCAGTTATTCATCGAAATTTTCTGAAACCTGCTTCGGGTTCGGAGAGAATTTCGTTTTTGTTCAGGAATATTTGCCGGCTACCCCGCGTATATCTACATATTTAGAATACTTCAAATCTAATAAAATATTGTTTTAGTATATTGAGCTAAATATTATCGTTGC